CGACTTTAAACAAGAAATGAACTACAATTAATACTAAAATTTTGAGTGAATAATTGATCGCGATGTGTAAGTTATTTAAGCTAATCAAGCAAAATTGCATAACGTCGCTATATGACAACTAGTTTAAGCAAATCGCTTATCCTTTTAGCCTCTTTTTTATCCGTCGTAATTTGTGGTTTTCGCTTTCTTCTGTTTTCAGATTAATTAAATACTTAATGGTTTTATATATTGATTTAAACGTTACAAAGTTATAAGAAAAAAAAACACCATACCAATGTTTCGAAACCACTAATTAAGTATTTGTTCGTAAGAATTAAGAAATATGCTCTCCAAATAGACTGATCCTGTGATACACGTACAATTTTTATTTCCATCATATGCATCTAAATGTAAGTTTGTAGATATGCAAGGCCATAATCTTGAACTACACGATATATACAATTAATCTAATGTTAGTTTTTGTGAGTAAAGCTATAATCGCAGCTAGTTAAAACTTGACTTTCGTTTTCATTTTCCTAAATATAAATTTATTGGATTTATATTTTAGACCTTCCCACTTATCTAATCCAATACCGAAATTAAAAATATCAAAATAGTAAATGGAATAAAGACCATTATCATTATTGGTGTGACACAACATTAATTTAAAATACGGAATACCAAAATGCCAACAAAAGATTCTTATCCTCGCATGTTATTAAATCCCACTATATAGTTGTCATTAACCCATCTTTAATATTGTTAACCTTGAATTAATCAAATTAGAGGCGGTTTGGGCGGCATCCAATATTGCTCCGCCACGTAATCTGGGCCCCATCTTCATCATTTCCTCTTCACTATATAAACAAGAGCCCAAACAAGCCCAAAACAACACACACACACAAGTAGAAAAAGAAGCCAACACAAAACCAAAAAAACCAACCAAAAGCAGAGAGTTTTCAAAAATGGTGAAGATAGAAGTTGGAAGTGTTGGTGACTCATTCAGTGTTGCGTCTCTAAAAGCTTACTTGTCTGAGTTTATCGCAACTCTTCTCTTCGTGTTCGCTGGAGTTGGTTCTGCTATTGCGTTTGATAAGTTAACCTCTGGTGGAGACTTGGACCCAGCTGGTCTTGTAGCAGTTGCGGTGGCTCATGCTTTTGCTTTGTTCGTTGGTGTTTCGATTGCGGCTAACATCTCCGGTGGTCACTTAAACCCAGCCGTGACTCTCGGTCTAGCCATCGGTGGAAACATAAGTTTGATCACAGGTTTCTTTTATTGGATCGCTCAGTGTCTTGGCTCCATCGTTGCTTGCCTTCTCCTTGTCTTTGTTACCAATGGCAAGGTACATAAATAGACTCTTGTTTTGCTTAACTAGGTTTTGAGCATAAAATTAGGCTCTTTAGTTGAATAATATAAATTTTTTTACCGAATTAGTTCGGTTAATATAACCCAAAAATGAATAGTTGTGTTCCGATTCGCTTTGTTTTGAATAATAAATTTCAGTTTTTCAAGTTATTAAGATTTTTTTTTTTTTTTAAATTATGGAATAGAACAAACACAAATTTTTTAGACGGAAAAAAAACATGCATAGTTTTGGTTTAGTTTGATTTGGTATAGAATAGTCACTATCTCTAT